ATAACCCGGATTAGTATAGATTTGAATTCATATAAAAACCCATTTGGATCGACTTTGCCATTACCTTGGCAACTAAACTATATATAATAGACTCATTGTGTTTGAGTACAGTAGTTGGTTAATTAGTATTATCAGAAGAACTCATTTTAAAGACTACCCCTTGTTTGCAGTTTTTGAGCCATTCGAAGATAACAAGGTGGAACTATTTGAGCCTAAATTAGTGTTTATAGCTTTAAACCCTGGAGGATTAGCTACGGGTATATGGAAGGTTAGAGATTCTTTCTTCTTTCCCTTTTGCTTGAGACTATACGGCCTTGAGACTTTTAAAGTAATGTCTTCCTTAAACTCATATTTTTGCTCAACTCTTTGGGACTTCTTCCTACACATGTATCAGATTGCGTTTCATCTCTACCCCCTCCACAGGTTGGTCTCTTTTCGAACAAATCACACATCTTTAACATTTGAAATTACAGAGCTAATGGAATTTTTATGTTGGTAGTTTGGCTCATGATTCATAATAAACATCTGTCTTTTCACTGTTTGTTTCTTCAGGAGGTCGAATATTCAAGCGGAGGAATCGTATTCTATTGATGAATTTGCTTCTCTCAGTAAGAATGTTAAAGAGATAATCAATGACAAACCCACTAAGTGATTTGTTGAACCGGTCATGAGAAGGGTTCATGTTGGTTTTGCCTTTGTCTCCATTGCTTTGAATGCGTGATCTTCTTATAGCTTGTGAGAAAGTAGAGTTGAAATCGGGGTTTCGGGTTTAGACTTGATCCTTTAGTTTAGGATCATCAATTTTATTTTGGCCCTAATAAATATGGATTATATATGATTATCATATATTTGTAGGCCTGCTCTTTTCACATTTTTTTTGTTATCAACAGAATCCACTGAACTATTTTTTCATTTTCGCAGAGATATGAAGTCGAATTCTAGTAAGAAAATCGTAAAAGTAGTCTTTTAACTAGTACTTAACTAAAAACATTTTATCGTTTCACAATTTTTTTCTGGTGATGGAATTATTTTTGTATGACAACTTATATTGATAAAAATCTAATGAATAAACAGTTGGGTAGTTGGTATTTGATTAAAAGTGACAGAACATCCCAAAGATGTTGGGACAAATAACTTTTGTAATAAATAAATAGAAATGGGCTTTTTGGTATTTCAAAGTCAGTAGAGAAGTTAGTGGTGACAAGATCTATTTTGATCCAACGGTATTCGAACACGTGTCTAAAGAGAGAGTAGGTTTAGAAACCTTGTTTTGTTCCTTTGTTGGCCGACTGATCTTGAAAAAGCTTAGATTTTTGGACGGTTTTGCCCTTTGGGCCCTATCAAGTTTTTATTGGTTTTTTCAACAAACGTCATACATTATATCAAAATTGATGGCAAAAAAAATTATAAGTGAAGTTACTTCGATCAACTCGTTGAGATCTAAATAGAAAAAATTATGGGCACGTACATGTGCATCTTTTGCAAAGGGGTCGACATAGGTATTACAAAAACGTGAAATAAAACATAATCGAAAAATCACAATGCTCTCTCTAAGCTCAGAAAGGTAATCCAACTCTGTCTGGAACACTGACCAATCCATTGGGTCGTCAAGCATCTTTAATAGGTCCGAGCAATCAGTCTCAAATCGGATCGAAATAACATATTTTTGCTTGAGGCATTCCATTGCCCATGTAAAGACGCCCAATTCTGCGTGTAGGGTCGATAGGCTCCTCCAACAATCTCGCATGTTGGTGTGCATCTGTCCTGATGAATCGGTAAAACACCATCCAAAACCGCTAGTGGACCCATGATCCACCCAAGAAGCGTCGACATGGCATATATGAAGTTCTTATATAGAAACAAAATGAAAAATTATTGGAAATGCTGAATTTGAAGTGAAAAATAAAAGAGATGAGACTACTTTACGTAAGATTTTAATTACAGATTTTCAAATTATTTTGGGATAGTAAAGTCAAAAGAATTAATATGGTATCAAACAATTAGGTTTGTTATGGTGACTTTGATGCAAACCCAAGTTTTATTCATCTTCATTTTGTTGAATTTAACACATAAATACCTTTTTCCTTTGTAAATAAACCTTATAAATTCCTTTAATAAAAAAAGAAAACCTTATAAATTCAAGAAATAGTTTTTATTTTTGAGGTGAAATTGAAAAGAAAAAAAAAAGCCGGGGAAATTAGAAAGAAGAAAATTAAGACAGAATGTTCATAGTAAGTGACAAACGACAAATGTGTTTTGGTCAAACATTTAGTAGCAAAAGCTTTGACATTTTCCTTTCGTCTCTCTGATCTGAGTTTTATCCTTTCATTTCTTTAGTCATTTTCTTCTTCTTCAATGTGCAAAACTTGTTGTTCATACGAAAGCAAGTCAACGAAGCTTTCCTCCTCTGTGCTTATTTCATTCTTGCTTTTCGAGCTTTAATCTCAAGTTCGTTTTTGATTCTCAAATCTCTGTTTCTTGACTTGCCTACATCAAAAGATTCATCCTTTTCAGCAAAAGATTTACTTTTTCTTCTCTGAGATCAATCCAATCCAAGACAACTCTGTTCCTCGGATCTGTATTCAGACCAAAACCCAAATCAAAAAGTTTCAACATTTAAGCTCAAAACGGATCCAAATCTCCAAACTTTCCTTGGCAAGAACCAGTTATGGTAGTAGAAGAACAAAGCCTTGAAAACGGCGGATCCGTCCGTGTGGTTAAAGGAGAAAGCCATTTCCGTAATGTCTTGTGGGGTCCAGTGCGATGGCTTAAGATGTTGTCTTCAGAGCTTCACTGGAGCTTTGTGTTCGGTGTGGTCTCACTGTACGGAATAAACCAAGGGCTTGGTGGCTCAATGGGTCGTGTAGCTACTGAGTATTACATGAAAGATGTTCAAAAGGTTCAGCCTTCAGAATCTCAAGCTCTCACTGCAATCACCAAGATTCCATGGATCATTAAACCTCTTTGGGGGATTCTCACTGATGTTCTTCCCATCTTTGGTTTCCATAGACGTCCTTACTTCATTTTAGCCGGTAAAATCTTAGTAGAGATTTGGATCAAATTCTCTTTATTTTTTTCTCATTAACTATACAAATTCTTTTTTTTTTTTTGCAGGGGTGCTTGGAGTGGTTTCTTTGATGTTCATATCGATTCATAGTAATCTACACCTTTACTTGGCATTGTTGTGGATGACTATATCAAGTGCTGCAATGGCTATAGCAGATGTAACTATTGATGCTTGTACCGCTTATAATAGCATAAAACACCCTTCTCTTGCATCGGATATGCAGAGCTTATGCAGTTTAAGCTCATCCATTGGAGCACTTCTTGGTTTCTTCATGAGTGGCATCTTAGTTCATCTTGTTGGCTCTAAGGTTAGCGAATCTTGCGCCGTGATCTCTTTTATTCTCGGGATTTCTCTCTAATGTTGTGTTTCGTTTTTTCGATATTAGGGAGTCTTTGGCTTGCTGACATTCCCATTCGCGTTAGTATCGGTAGTTGGGATAGTGTTTAGTGAGTCCTATGTTCCTGGTTTCTCTTGTAAACAGGTAAATCTATTCTCTCTTCATTAGCTTGATTTTTTAAACCAGAATGAGATTATTGACTCTTGTTTTGTATCAGCTCAGGTAAACCAGAAATTTACAGATGCAGGGAAAGCAATGTGGAGGACACTGAAATGCTCCGATGTGTGGCGACCGAGTCTGTATATGTACATTTCCCTTGCTCTTAGTTTGAACATTCATGAAGGTCTATTCTATTGGTTCACAGATTCAAAAGATGGCCCTTTGTTTGCTCAGGTACTCCCTAAAACGGCGAGTTTATATTTTCAAAATATACCCGAAAATGCTTAATATGTTGAGAGCCTATCTGGTTTGTTTCAGGAAACGGTTGGTTTCATTCTCTCAATTGGTTCAGTCGGGTCAATTCTAGGAGCAACGTTGTACCAGCTAGTCCTAAAGGATCATCCGTTCCGTGGCCTTTGTTTATGGACTCAACTTCTCTTTGCCTTATCAGGAATGCTTGACCTCATTCTAGTGCTACGTCTCAACTTAAAGTTTGGCCTACCGGATTATCTCTTCATAGTAGTCGATGAGGTAGTTTCTCAGATGATCGGACGCCTGAAATGGATGCCGCTGCTAGTCCTCACTTCGAAGCTTTGTCCTCACGGAATTGAAGGGACATTCTTTGCGTTACTAATGTCAATTGACAATGCAGGAGTCATGACCTCGTCTTGGCTCGGAGGAGTGTTGTTGCACATCCTCAAGGTGACTCGGACTGACTTTGGTAACCTCTGGCTTGCTGTTTTGATCAGGAATGTGATGAGAGTTTCGCCGCTCTGTGTTCTGTTTCTTCTGCCTAAAGGAGACCAGAACACGTTCAAACTCCCACATGAGATTTTGGGGGAAGATTCGGAAGACGAAAAAGAAGAAAATCGGAATTTGGAATTGGCGTCTCTAGTTGAGTCCGTTGATAGAAGATAGCTACATTGTTCTCTTATTATAGAGTTTGAAGCAAATGCTTTAATTTTCTGCATTTTCTCTGAACTTTCTTGCACTGATACAAAGTGCAAAGTTTCTCACTATACACAAATTTGTCTTTTTTTGGTATAGAAGGAAAATGTCGTTTGAGATTGGGGGCCAAGTATATCTAAAATGGTACCTTAAGAAAAACACAAGAATCCTGCAGAAGAAACAATGAGTGAGAAATATGAGAAACTGAGACTGGAATACACAATTACAAGCTGTGTCTGAGAAGAGTTCTGCATATCTTGTGTGTTTAGAAACACCAAAAGGTTAACATCTTTTCATAGGAACAATTTTTCCAGTCCTGCAGAGAACAAACAAAAAAGGGTGAAAGAACA